TTTCCACGGTTCCAATGAGATTCCAGTAGGTGTTTGAGCTAAATATAATAGTGACTTATCTGTGCCCAGATTTTATAAATCCAAGTTTTTACTTTAAATAAGACTCTTCACCATTCCCCACTTCCACCCATCAGTACACATCGGCAAGCGCACAAACCCACTTATTCTACATGACTTTGTCCATTCTCATTTGTACGCCCTGCTGTGAGTGAGATCCTGTGAGGCAGGAAAAGGAAAGAGAAAACACGTCAGCCTGGTGCTCATGGAGTTATACTCTAGAGCAGAAAATCAACCACATAAACAGATACAGCTAGTCTTGTTTTAAGCAACATGTGCAAGATTATAAAAATAGAGCATAATCTTCTTAGACAGAGAAACTCATGTTAAAATGTTGACTCTGTTGTTTCCATGATTTAATTCCTGGAAGTACAGCACTTGGTATTTAGCAAGACTGGTAGGAAATATGAGTGTTTTTTGCATTTGCTCCTCTAGTGGATACAGTGGCCCAGATTCCCTCGTCCGCTCTATGCACCACCTTGCTCTTTTGCTTAACTGGATGTAGGTACAGCCAGCTCTCATCTCTCTAATGACCGTAAAAGATACTTGAAGCTGGGAAATAACTGTGTCAGCTATTGCTTCTGGGTCTCCTACAGAGTCCAAAGCAATGCCATTTTATTATAACTGATAGTTGAGCCCCTACCGTGTACAAGGCCCTGTAGGAGAGGCCATAGAGACAGAGATGGCCAATGTTCCTGCTGTCTCTCAGCAAGTACTTTTTTTTTTTCTTTTTGTGGTACTGGGGATCGAACTCCGGACCTTGTGCTTGTGAGGCAGAACCACTGAGCTAAATTCCCCGCCATCTGCAAGTGTTTCTTTAGCATTTCCCAAATGGAAGGATGTGTCCTTGGTGCTCTGTGTGAGCAACCCTCTTGGTCCACACTCAGGAGGAAGTGCTCCATGAGAGGCACCATCAGGAACTGTATTAGTTTGCAACGACTGCTACGAGAAGACACCGCTAACTGCAGGCATTAAACAGCAGAAATTCATCATCTTGCAGCTGGTAGAGATTATCAGTCCAAGATCTAGATGTTGACATAGTTGGTCTCTCCTCAAAGCTGTAAATGAGAAATGTGTTCCATGCCTCCTTCCCAGCTTCTGGGGTTTCGCTGGCAATCTTTGTATTGTTTGGCTGGCATCAGCATTGCCCCCATTTCTACCTTCATCTTCAACTGATACTCTCCCTGTTTGCCTGTACTTGTGTCCAAATTTAACCCTTTCTTATAAAGAGAGTGGTCATATCGGATTGAGCACATTTACTCCAGGGTGACTAACTAATGCTAACTAATTATATCTGCAATGACATAAGGGCACATCCTGAAACTCTGGAATTAGGAGTTCAAAATACGAATTTGAGGGAGAATCATAATTTAACACACAATGCACACAAACAACTAAATACAAAATGACAAGTGCTGACTTACGGGGACATAGAAGGCACTATAGGGGTGAGTGCTCGTGGAACTGAGTGGCACGCGCATGAACATGAAGGTAAGCCTCAAAGAAGGCCCTGGCTTCAGGGGTCAAAGTGTGACTAGACCGTGGGCATTCTCCAGGTGACAACAGGGGACAGGCATGTGTTTGAAGGCCGCAGAAAGCACTGGGAGGACTGCAGAAACTATTGCAGGATAAAGGCTGAAGGAAGAAGCATCTTAAGGAAAAGAGAAAGCCCGGGGTGGTGGTGCACGCCTGTAATCCCAGCACTCAAGAGGCTGAAGCAGGAGGATCGCTGAGAGTCGGAGACCAGCCTGGGCTGCATAGTGAATTCCAGGTCAGTTTCAACTACATAGGGAGACCCTGTCTCAAAAAACCAAATCAATAAAAAATAAAAATAAAGGAAAAGAGAAATGAGACGGAAAATGAAGGTAGAAGTCAGATTGCAAAGAACCACGTCATCACGGGTGACCTAACCCAGAAGGATGAAAAGTTATTTGGGGGAGGAGGATCTGGAGGAGAAATCTCTAGTCATACCACTGTGGTAAGAGTATAACTGGGCACTGAAGTTAGGCTGTACTGGAAGCACAAATAAGCTAGGAGGCTATCTGCGAATCTAAGCCACAAATAATGAGGCTCTGGATAATGCAAGAGCAGCAGAAACGAAAGAGGGGAGATGGATTTCCAAGGAGATGCTATAAAGAAAATGAGTTCCAACCTGCAGTTTAGAATGGCTTCAGTGTGAATGAAAAAGACATAGATGAGGCAGGTGAGGAAGTCATATATGGAGGAGCTGAGGATGGGGGCTCATTTCTGGAAGAGAGAAAGAGGAATCTGGGCACACTTGGAGGATGGTTGCATTTGGCCATCCGACCTTCAGGACTTCCATTCTCCTAGTCCAATTTCATTTACTCTCTGTCCTCCACATGTGGTGCGGCCCCTAACCTTCATAAGGCAGGAAAATCTGTTTAGATAGTCTCTAAGTGAATTAGAAATATTGTTCTATATATTAGGGCCAGGCTAAACAGTGTACTGAGGAAGCATAACCCCATGAACTGGGGACAACTGAGGTCATAAGACTTGTGGTATCTTCACACCTATATCTCTGCCAGTCCAGAAAGGAAAAATGCAAGCCAGTTTATCTTTGCAGATAGAGAGAACTGGCTCAATGCCTGGCTTCTTTATCTACTAGTCCCAGTGCTTCATGAGACACATGAGAAGTTGCAAAGTCCCTCAGAAACTGGAACACCATTTGAAATGTAGTGCTGGATAAGAAGAAGGTCCCCAAACTGTTCGAAATGCCCACCACCCTAGATAGGTAGGTAGATGAAGTAAGTGGAACGGCATCACCTTGCAGTTTCTCTCTTGGGTTGGGATTCAGGCCACAGTGCTATGCTCCTGAAGGTGTTCTTCTTCTGGAATCTTCCTTTTCCACACTTGTCTGTTTGTTCTACCCATGAACGGTCTCTAACCTAACCTAGTTAGGTACTTCACAAGCCAAGAAGTAACCATCGCTACAGCAAACTCGTGTTTCACCCTTACTGGGGCATAAACTAGGGGCTGTAACGAGCAACACTGGCTTTGGCTCATTCAGGCCTCCTCACAACCCTGGCCATTAGCTTCTTCAATCTCTTCATTTCCAGAGAGCAGGGTGGCAAATGCCACAAGAAATACTCTGCTGGAACACAGGAGAAATGACTCCGTTGACCCAAGTCCGAAAGCATGTCTCAGGTTTGTGACTTCAGCAAGGGAAAGGAGAGGCCTAAAAAATAGAAATAACGTTCATGGGAATGTTTGCCCCTCAGGCGGGAGGCTCTGGCCAAAGATTTCTTTTCTTCAGCAGCCAGCGGGGTGAAGCCGCCTTCCGGGTCAGATTTGAATTTTGGTATATTCCCAGGTCATTAAAGGGAGGAATCAGGAGTTCAGGGCCCTCTCCCTCTTCCTCCAAAGGAAAATGTGGGGGAGGAATATAAATTACCTCACAGTCTCAGGGGAAAGCCTGAAGGAGTCTTCCCCGGATTTACTGGGTGGACTGTTTTCACACCAAACTAAACTCAGAAGTTCGGAGGGAGGTCATCTGGGGCCCCTCCCTCCTCCAATGCAGGAACGATTTCCTCTTTTTAAAATACAGGCAGAGTTGGAGTCAAACTCCCTGCAAACAGGAAATCAAAATGCTAGGTAAAACCGGTGCCTTATTTTTAAAGGTCAAGCTTTTTAACACGCCAAGTGCGTGTTTCCTGAGCATGTACTGAGCTCCAGCCATATGGTGTGTAATTGTCACGAATCTGTTCTGTACCCTGGGGGAGGACACAAAGAGAGAAAAGAGCCTCCCCCAACACACAGGCGCGCGCACACATCTGGCAAAGCTTACAGGAGAAAGGCTTTTAATGGACTGTGATGTCATTTTTCTAAAAAATAAAAAGCCGAATCAAAGGTTTCAGCGCTGCCTCCCCATCGCCTGGGTCCCTCCCAAAAAAACGAGTGGCCAGGGCCCTGAGCGAGGAAAGCGGGCGGCCTGGGACGCCGGGGGATGGGCACGGGAAGGGGGCTGGGGGGAGGTGGAAGGTGGAAGGGCTGAGTCGGCAGAGGGGCCGGGAGTTGGCTGGCGACCGCAGCGCCGAGAAGCAGGTGCCAGCGGAGAGTGGG